GTGGATAACGTGAAATCGATTCATTAAAATCCTGAATCGATTTTTTTATATAAATGTATTTTGCCCAAAATTCCAGAATCTCAGGTGAAACCTCACAAACTTTCAACAACCACCAAACAGCTCAAACAGTAAATGAGAGCAGCAACAGGCTTCTGCACAAAGACGTGAACACACAGCTCGACCCGCCGACGGATCAGGATCAGTGAGGCGTCGCCTTTCTCACCCGACGGCACGGACACGGTCGGGGCTGAAAGCCGACAGCTCGCTGATTCTGATGTGTCGGCGGGTCGAGCTGTGTGTTCACGCCCTTTTTGCGCCGATTCTAAAGCTGCAGTTTGATCTCTCTCTCTCCTCGCTCTCTCTCTTCTTCGCTCTCTCTCTCTCTCTCGCTCTCTCTCTCTCTCTCTCTCTCTCTCTCTCTCTCTCCTCGCTCTCTCTTCTCTCGCTCTCTCTTCTCTCTCTCTCTCCTCTCGCTCGCTCTCTCTCTCTCTTTTTCCTCTCTCTCCTCCGCTCTCTCTCTCTCTCTCTCCTCCGCTCTCTCTCGCTCTCGCTCCTCTCTGCTCTCTCTGCTCTCGCTCTCTCGTCTCTCTCTCTCTCTCTCTCTCTCTCTCCTGCTCTCTCTCTCTCTCTCCTCTCTCGTCTCTCTCTCCTCTCTCTCGTCCGCTCTCCTCTCTGCTCTCTCGCTCTCTCTCTCCGCCCTCTTCCGCTCTCTCGCTCCCTCCTCCCTTCTCGTCTCTCCGACTCTCTCTCTCTCTTTGCTCGCTGCTCCGCTTCGTCATCTCAGTCTCCGGGCTGGTCGTCGTCCAGCTATCTCCCTCGACAAACACCAAACCAGTTCCACACCACTGAAGTTGCAGCATTTTTACAAACCAGTTCTGGTTCATCCGTTTCACTCAATGATCTGCTTTCTCCCTTCTCATTCTCAGTTGCTGCCATGCTTTTTCGGCCATGTGCGTATGAAAACAGGCACTGCGCATGCGCGTTTTATCGTGATATTTTATTTTCTTATTGTTGCCCAGCATTGTACCGGTGTTACCGTGAATGGTATAATATGGCCCAGCCCTACTTTGGACTATGGGAAGCAGCCGGAGAGGACCCACACATGCACAGGGAGAACATGCAAATTCCACAAAGAAAGGCCCTAACCAGGTGGTGGACTCAAACCCAGAACTTTCTTGCTGCGAGGCAGTGGTGCAAACCACTGTTCCACCTTGATTGATTTTATTTTATTTCTCCGTCTTTTTTAATTATGTTTTTTATCGCTGCCTTGTTCAGGCCCACTTTCCAGCCTGTCAGCAATTGACCTGGCCACATCATCCATGCCAAGTGATGCACCGTTGATTCTTTGGAGGACTGCACATAAATATGGTGGTTAGGACTCGCTTACACCGTACTGTCCACACACAGTACAGTGAATCTTGAAGTCGTGGTGCTTGTTGACTGTACACATGGGGCAGTGAGTGAGGGCACACAGAAATCTGTAGTGTTTGGTGCAAAGATTTTTCTGTTTATTTAGATCCATTGGTTGTACTCAATGTTCTGGAAACGTGAACATCTCCCATTACACTGTATTTATTCACAGTGCTGACACCTGTGCTAAATGTTAGGGACGTTCCTTGTAACTAGTCGTTTAAATGGGCAGAGTTCAGAGATATAACAGGAATGAATACTTGCTGTTGGCTCACCTGGTGTCTGTAAAGGACTAAGTATTAGGCAGCCGTGGGGACACAGACCCTCACAGTTCTGAAATTTGCATCACAAGACGTGGAAATTGTAACCGAGGCTTGTGGCTCGCCTTCATCTTGGTCAAACACAGCTTGTGTTTGTGTCTGCACACACCTGAAGGTCGCTGAGAATAAAGGAAGGACACATGGTAGGCATGCTGGTGTTGTAAACAAGGTTTCTACAACCTCAGTTCCAAAAATCTTGGGATTGTGTGTGTGTGTGTGTGTGTGTGTGTGCGCGCAAGGAAAATGGTTGATCTGACAATCTCATATTCAAATATCATTCACAGTAGAACATAGAAAACATGAAATATCTAAACTGAGGTATTTTATTTCATTAAAAACCAAATAAGCTCATGTTGAGTTTGATGGCAGCAGCACGTTTCAAGAAGATGGGTCAGGGCAACAAGGAGCTGGAAAAGTGTTACTCATAAGGAACACTCGGAGGAACAAACTGTGGAGCAATTTCAAATTTTCCTCAGCATAAAATGTGAAACTTGAATCGACATCTATAGTCGATAAGATCATTAGAAGGTTCAATCTTTGTGTGCAGGGACGAAGCTTCGGGCAGCACTGCATTAAAAATGGGCACGGCTTCAGAAATCCCTGCCTGTGAACACGGCTCACCGTGCTGTCCACACATGTAGCTTAAAGCCAGACGTGAACATCACCCACAAACACTGCTGTCTGCAGGACGTTGGTCTGTGAAGCACTGCAGAGCCATCCTAGCTGCTTTATTGCAATAAAAAA